TTGATGGGCTGTGCTTTGAACTCGAAATGTCAAACATACTTATGTATAATAACAATCTATCACTTTACGTTTAAATAATTTATCCTTGGACTTTATTTTGGCTGAAAATGGGTTTTAATAAATATATAGCCTTATTCTTGCAGTATACAGCCTTGTTATATGTTATTCAGAATATGACCATACCATATTACAACCCAGATCACATGTTTCCAAGTGATATTGAACAACATCGCCAGGCTTTTAGTAGAAACAAGACAGGACATTTAGTAATACATTTGATATGTTTGACAATGTTTTGTAATCGAACTTATCTGAATAATTATTGCACAAGCAACAATTCGACAGTGAGCATGCATAGGGGCCTAGACGTGATGATCGATTCTCTTCATCGATTTTCTCTTTGCATTGCTACAGCTAAGCGAATCAATTTTCTAGAATTTGTTCAATGCAGAGTAGTAACAAGTTGTATTGGCTATCAAAAGCGACAGCAAACGCACCGAGAAACGTTAAATCTAGCGAGTTATTAACAAAAGAGAAAATCGACGAAGAGAATCGATCATCACGTCTAGGCCCCTATGCATGCTCACTGTCAAATTTCGTATTACTCACGCTCTAGAACGTAAATCATTTCGGGTGGAGATGGAGAATTATCGCTTCTCTCGCTTGACTTTAATTCTCGATGAACATTTCAAATGGTCCTATCTGCTTTGATCGATTCTCTTCATCGACTTTCTCTTTTCATAACCACTGCTATGCAAACAGATTTCGCGCTAATTCTACCACATAGTTTGATAAAGAAGGTTCTTATCTAGCGTCCAAAACGTCAATTACAACAGGGAAAGGTTTTGCAGCTGAGTTATTGACGAAAGAGAAAGTCGATGAAGAGAATCGATCAATGCAGATAGGACCTTTTGAAATGTTTATCTAGAATTGTTGTTGACTTGCCATCTGCGCGAGCAATGTTTGTCATGTGCGTTTTTGACATTTGCTTCCAAAAGCAAAACTAATCAAATTCAATGGATGAAAACAGTGGTGCCAATTCAAATGATAATCATTTTGATTTAAATGTGTTATACAGTACATATTTTTCAACAACAAATCCCTTTGTTTCAAAACGTAAATAACTTGAAAATCAATGATAAATCACTTCGATTCGTAGTGCCGCATAACAGACTGATTCAAGTGCAAGACATTTCGATTAGTTGTGACAACTTTTTACCGTGTACTGTACTTGTCTCCTCAATACCAATTGTTGGTATTGAGGAGACAAGTACAGCACACGGTAAAAAGTTGTCACAACTAATCGAAAGGCCTCAACTCAGTTTTGTAAACAAACCTTGTAAGGCCATTTTCTCGCGAACCGAAATCTACAGTCGCCATCCTAAAACACAATCTGGTAGAGGAGAATTTCCCCTATTTGTTAATTTTATTTGTTTGCGTTGGTGGACTTCGGTTCGCGACAGAATGGCCTTACAAGGTTTGTTTACAAAATGGAATTGAGGCCTTTTCAATTGTTGATCTAGTCTTGATGGATTCGACGTCTCCGATAAACCCCTACGGTGGTTTCAACTTGTGCAGATTGTTGCAAATTTGGGAACCATTTTGCTCAAACCCTTCCATTCGAAGTCTTTGCCAATCATTGTCTTCTTCGATGAGCATCCCCACAAATTCCGGCGAGGAGACAGAAATCTTCGTCTTTGCTACCGATGCGATGCTCGCCACTGAGCAACAACAAAAGCGAGGAGCTTTTTCGAGCTTCACATCGCAGAGCGAACGGGAAAAACTTGCGATGGTGTGCCGTTGATTGCCTTGACGAAAGACGACCAATGAAAACGACGAACGAACGGGGGGATGCGAAGAAAACGAGCAGACACGGGAGCTATGTCTATTTTTAGAACGCAATCGAATTTTCATGTTTTTCACTTTGGTGCGCCTTTTCCATTCATTACTTTTACGATCCAGTCCTTCGCGTCCGCCACCCACATCCACTCGCCCCCCCGGATGGTGTCGGAGAACGCTACAAACGGCAAACTTTTCCATCCTGCTCGTCTGGTTGTTTCACACGGCCGATGGGAGTAACCCAACATTGAGTCGAACTCGACTCAAAAGGGCAAAAAGTTGGGTCGCTCAGTGGCTAAAATTCAGGAAAAATTTCTTGAATATGAGGAATATCTAGAGATATTTCATATCGGTCTATTACACTTGCCCAGTAACGTGGGTAGATCACCTTTTCATGGTACTTTACGGGATTTAAGATCCATCACCGATTCCTAGTCCTGACTACTTCAAACTAGAGAGGGTCTAGTCAAAGCCAGAGCCAATCGAGCTGCGCCTATCTTGATTGCCTTGGTAGTGTTGCTAGAAACCGCTTAGGTATAGTAATCTTCTATTCGTTGTTCCCTAGTTTGAAGTAGTTAAGACTAGGGTTCTAATGCATGGTCATTATCGACGGTCATTCCTTAATTTTGTTGCTAAGGAATCCAATTTTGACTGATAAAGGGGCGCGCCTTTGGAGGGTGTTTCAACATTGTGAAGGGTATTAATAGCGGGACCTTTCAATTTGAGTCGGATCCTTGCGATAAATGCAAGAATGACAACTGTAAAAAAAATCGAATACTTCATCATTTCTAAATAGTAATGATGGAGTAATACAACATGCACCAAACTAAGGACATGGGCAAGGGGTAGGTCACTCTGCACACCAATCTTGGGTCATCGATTGTGCCGGACATAGAGCAAGCTGCAATTGTTTGTAAAATACCCATCCCGGCAATCCGGTATTTCTGACACCTTGAATGTTTTGGTTTGAAATCGCAAGGATAAATCGGATTGAGGATGACGTGGGAAGTGGCGGGTGAGCGAAATTTTGGTGTTTTGTTTTCATATGATAATAAAAGTCCTGTGTTTTAGAGTTTTATAATGCCCTCAAATTCAGACCAGAAAGCAACGGTCTATCAGCGGCCGGAAAGAGTTGGAACCGGTGGGGAATATTGTTGGAGACCGACTATAGAGGATGATGAATAGACTTCTGTTGCTTGTTTTGTGTGAGTTGCAGTATTATTTGAATTAAGGATAATAATGGGGTCTAATGAACTGCCTCTTTCTCTTGAGCCCACATTTCGTATTTAGATCTATAAGTGAACTGCTGGTCTAAGTTCCTATGGTATATTCAATAAGAGGATGTTCCTGAATATACAGTTAAACTGCACGTAATGATGTGAAAAACTTCACTGTGCTTTCATTTTATTTACAACAATCCAATGCCTATGAGATTGTGCCGAATGTATGCCCAAGTTGCGCCGAATCGAATTTCGGCACATTGTGCTGAGTGATTTACCCCTTGGACATGGGATATACTACAATAGATAAAATTATTGGTCACAGTGGTGTTAGGTCCCGAACAGAGGAAAAAAATACACGACCTATGAGATCGACTTAAAATGGAGTGGTTTTTTACTCAAAGTCACAAAATCGAAGGCTGCTCAAAGAGTGAGTAAAATTTTCCTCGCTTTCTTCAAAAATCTGCTCGAATATGAGGAAAATCGAAGAAACTTGATTCAGTGAATGGAACATTTATTTACGTTGGTTAAATTAGCCGTGTAGTAAAATTGTCAATTTTCCTTATATTCAAGCACATTGAAAACGAATCTTACTCTGTGAGTGAGTTAGTTTTACTCACTCGTATGGAGAAATTTCTAAAAGCGTAGGCTAGTGACATACGCTTTTAGAAATTTCTCCATACGAATGAGTAAAAATGACTCACAATTAAGTAAAAGTGACTCACTCTCTGAGTTACTTTCGTTTCAGCCCATTTTTTTCTGAACAAGCGAGGAAAATTTCACTCATTCACTGAGCAAGCCCACTCTTCGCAATTTTGGAGTCGATTTCGACTCAGTCGCTGAGTTATTCCCATTCGCCGTGCAGCCCACTCCGAGGATGTTAGGTATGTGTCTTGGTACACGAGTGGAGTGCATCCAAGTGTGGCCATAGGTGCATCCCTCCAGCTACATTCATGCTCGATTCAACTTCTGTGCGGTTGAGATTTTTCTTTGTTTTCGGAACACACGACTGAAATAAAAGGTGTGCAGTTCTATGTCTGCCAGAGGTTGTTACCGGATTATCCAACCCGAAGGCACATACGATGATGAGAGGGAAACCATAAAACACCTCCGACGACGACGGCGGCGGCGGCGGCAACGACAGCGACCGACGTGTTATTTTACTCTTTGTGACTGTTAGTGCATCTGATCTAACCTGTATGTACCTCCATTATTCCCGGCGAAGATGCAGCACAATATGTCCCAAACGAGAAAATATCGTCGGCGGTGAGATCCCAGTGGAGAACGATTCAGCTTAATTATGTTACTTGAAAGTTTTTGCACGAGCCCGGACGGGGGACGGTGGTGGAGACGCTCGGTCTCATTTACGATTTAGACGTTGCTTATTGCAAAGTTTCTCCCGTGCTGTTTGTGCTGATTCATGGACGGTGGAGGAGGGGTATATTCAACTTTTGACCTATTCTGAGCTGAGTTTCGAGCACGTTTCGCAAAAGTTGTTTGTTTGGCTTTGTTGTCTAACAAGATCTAAAGATTCCTTTTTAAGCTACCGTGCGTTTCCATCAAACTTCTTGTCGTGAAAATGTATTTTTGATTTTCCGTCGCGTCGTTTACTCCATCGAACGTTAAACGGTCTAATTTTTATCGCATACAAATTGCACCAGTTTAAGCTTTCATTAGGTTACTATCGGACAGGAATAATAATTTTATTTATTTACGGCATCAGGGGTCATAAATCTCGGTCTTGCTTTTTTCTTCCCCCTCACCCTATCGCCACTCACCCTTGCTTCGGCTTGCCCGCTCGAGATAATTTATAACTTTTTAGCACATTCTAAATGAGTTTTGTTTTCGTGTTATTTTCCTTTCTCTTCCGTGGTGGCTGGCGTGCATTTGGCTTGTGGCCTATCAATTGGCGTCGTCTGCCGCCGGACTGGGCTGATGCAGGTGCTGGAGCGTTCGTGGGAAATCGTAGACAGCGTCAACGTCTCGCTGCGACTCTGGGATACCTTCGGTGATCACGATAAGGATCGGCGCTTCGCGTACGGAAGGTAAGTGCGATGATGGAAATGGGCAGTCTTCGATTCAATCTATTTCGGTAGTCGATTCGTATTCATATCAGATCGATTCATATTCGTCTGGCGTTCGAAGAGATTAAAGTGTTATGGTATAGGGTAGTTTGCCAATTGTTGCACAGCTTTTTTATTCCTTTAGAAACCTTTGAATGTGATTCATGAATCACTTTCAGAGCTCATCAGCAATTTATATTGGTAGAAACTATTCTATCCATTCCAATCGACAGAATTGTCAAAAATGGTTTGAAAACGTTTTTACAACGCTCAAAACTTTTTAGGTGACTATTTTTGGAAGCCCCTTTTTCTTCTGCAAACTTTTCATTTGAACTGCTTGTTAACCAGCTAGTTTACAGCATATTTGAACTTTGTACGCTGATGGTCATTTCCTATGTAAAATCATGCGCTGAATCCAAAAATGTAGTCCAAAAAATCTCAGTAGGATAGTTTTCGAGACATAGCTAAAAAACTTAAAACAAATTTGTTTACTAAAATACAAATATCTCCTATTGTAATGAAGTTATATTAATTATTTTAACGTCAAAGTAAAGGTGATTATTTGACCACCATTTCAGTGAGATTAGTGGTACAATCATTACAAACATTTTTATTCACACTGCTTAAAAACTTAGCAGAAATTCCATTTTTTTTTCTGGGAAAAATGCAAAATATCAAAATATATAATAAATAAACTATTAATTAACAACAATGCCACTAATTTCACTGACAATTGATGTTCAGTTTAACGAAAATTTTCTTACATTTAATTTGGCGTTAAAATAATTGATATAGTCTCATTACAATCGGAGATATTTGTATTTTAGTAAACAAACTTTTTAAAAGTAAATTTCCATTTTTTAGCTGTATCTCGATTAACGGCGCCGGTGGTGTAGTGGTAAGCGTGATTACCTCTCACCCCAGCAGGCCTGGGTTCAATCGCAGTCGGCGCCGCCGGAATGTTCTGAGGCATAACATCTCTGATCACGCCTTCCTTCGGATGGGAAGTAAAGCCGTTGGTCCCCGGTTCATGAGTTGATGGGTCGATAGGTAGGGTCCAGGTGTGGGAGTTGCCTTCCTGGCACGCCGGTAGCATTGGTGCTCAGCACGGAAAACAAGATCGACGGAAAAAACAAACCAAAGGAAAAAAAAAAGCTGTATCTCGAATACTATCCTACTGAGATTTTTTTTACTACGTTTTTGGATTCAGCGCACGATTTTACAGAAGTTTACATTACTTTTATTTGTAAACTAGTGTTATCGGCAACTTGAAATCAGTCGTATCTTGTAGTGCGAAAGTTTCATTTGAAGAAAAACCTGGCATAACCAGTTTGTTCAGTCGTAAAAATGTAATCAGATTGAAGCTGAAATACTAAGGATAAGAAATACATTCAGTGAAGTGTTTTGATGGGAAAATACAGTGAAATTAACGTGTAAATTTTGGTTACCGAATACAGTCAATGAGTGCCGAAGTCGACATTTCCCCTAATAAAATTTAATAAACTCCATAAAATATGGCTAAATGCATCTTGGTATGATATTTTCCAGCAAGAATAATCATTCAGTTAGTTAGATTCACTGTTAGATGATTAAACGTAACTTTTCGGTATATTGTACTTACGACATCAGTTAGTTTATTGATTTGATTGAGCTGGTCAATAATCGAAGCAAAATATACGCAGCACAGCAGTTCCATTTCAAATGACGATTTTTTTTTAATTTTTTGATCGACCTTCTATGATTATGCTGAAAATTTGCACAGTTGTTTGTTATTGTCCAACATGCCATTTTACATATTTGGTTCCCTAGTTTTGTACACGACTAACACCTGAAAAGGGCTTATGCAAAAATGATACGCATCAATAGAAAAACATATATCTCGCGAACGATTTGTTTGATCGAGATGCTTTCTTGGGCGAAGTTGCGGGCAAGTATTGTATCTTTCAAGAAAAAATATACACTGTAAAAAATTATTTTGTTATTTACAAAAAAAAAATTAAATGACTCAAATTGCATATTTTTTTTTTTTTTTTATATTTATATTGTAGTTTAGATAAAGTGCTACTTATTGACAATGTGCGTTTGCTAGGCAACTCATAAACAAAAAAGTTATGAATAATTGAAAAAAGTACTATTTTCCAAAATACTACTTACAGTTATCGAATATCTTTAAAATGGTGTTATTTAAATTAAATTTACAACAAAAAAGCTCATAATGCTTGAATTGCCCAAAGTTGTTATTTTCGAGATACTCGTAGGTTAAAATTCACTTATCGCATAATTTGAGCAATTATCACCCTTTTGAGATGTTGTTCGTGAGTGTTTAATCTTGAAAATATTTTTAACAAAAAGCCCAATCAATTTCCCTTAACTTTGCACTTCAAAGTTGTTTCAATCAGACGCATGAGTTAAGATATACTTAATTATGAGTAAGATACCGCATGGGAAAAATGTATTTTCCTACTTGGCCCCTTATACGGCTAGCTAGTTTCGAAGACCACGGTGGAATAGAAAACATCCATAAGAAGTGTTTGACAGCCTTTTCGGGTCATTGCTAGTGCCGTAGCTACACAATAGGAACGGGCAAAGCGGACAGGCCCCCCTCCAGAATTGTCCAAGATGACCCCCCACCTCAGATTTTTTTAGTTTTTTGCTCATATTGCGATTCGTAGCATAACTAGGGTAACCAACTGATTTTGGACCCCTAGAGGAAGTGAGATCACGTTTATGTCAAAATAATATTATTTGTTTATTATTATTATGCAATTTACATGCGGTTGTTTTCGAAAGCTACTCATCTTGGATGTAAAATGTCACTAGATATTTTATTTATTTATATATACTCGAAAAATAATTCTTTTCACATCATGATATTCACATATTTTGGACCCTTCCACTCGATTTTGGACAGTGTCCATAATATATTTTGGACACACTGAATGGGAACGAATATATTTTGGACATGCTGAAGTTCTTTCAACCTATGAGCCTAAAATTAATTACGACGGTCACTTCTTCCTATCTCGCATTTGTTAGGTCCGTCTAGGTGGGAAAATTTTCAAAGAAGGTGCCGTAAAATGGGGTGAAATTGATCAGCGGGGTGAATTTGATCGCTGAGTATACCCAATATTGTACTTATGCATAATATTTTTACAATGTATACAAAGATACATTCGTACGCTTAGTAACGAAAAACATGTTACACATGAAAAAATATCACGAGAAATTTCAGCGATCAATTTTGCCCCGCTGATCAATTACGGTATGCATAAAAGTTAACCCCCCCCGTTACTCGCGCTGTTGTACTTTGTACAACACATATGAGTTTTCCATTGCCATTTTGTTGCTGCCAATCGATCTGAAACCAACTTGTATTCCTCAAAAAACTTGTTTTGAACTAAAAAAGCTAAACTTTGATTACAATTAACCCCCAAAATGCGGATAATAGAGAAAATGTAAATGGAAACCGCTTAAACGGTGTCCATACTACGTGGGATTGACTTAATTGGTTACAACATGGAATATCTCGAGATCCTGACCAGATAGAAAGTTACTGTGTTCGGCAAAGTTGTTCAGGAGGTCAAAGCCTATTTCTTAGTGTACAATAGTTCAGAATTATCTCACTTCGTGGTGCTAGTATACATGTGAAATTCTCGTGTATAAAATATCTCTAGATCCTGACCAGATAGAAAGTAAATGCCTTCAGCAAAGTTGTTCAGGAAGTCAAGCTCTTTTCGTTGGTGGAGTAGTTCAGAAATTTCACACTACGAGGCGCTAGTATATACGTGTAATTCTCGCATATACAATAGCTCGAGTTCTTGACGAGCTAGAAAGTTACTGTATTGGGAAAACTTGTTCAGGAGGTCAAGACTTTTTGACTGGTAGACAGTAGTTCAGAATTTTCTCACCACGTGGCGTTTGTATACATATACACTTCTCGCATATGATATATCTCGAGATCCTGACCAAATAGAAAGTAACTGTCTTTGAAAAAGTTGTTCAGGAGGTCAAAGCCTATTGCTTGCTGTAGAATAATTCAGAATTTTCTAACTATGTAGTTCTAGTATACACGTTAAATTCTCTCATATAAAATATCTAGAGAGCATGACAAGATAGAATGTTACTGTCTTGGGCAAAGTTGTTCAGGGGATCAAGGTCTTTTGGCTAGTGGACGGTAGTTCAGAATATTTCACTTCTTGGTACTAGTATCTACGTGCAATTCTCGCATATCATATATCTCAAGACCTGCTAAAAATGTACTGTAATCGGCAAAGTTGTCCAGGAGATCAAACCCTATCGTTGGTGGAAAGTACATAATTTTCTTACTAGGTGACGTTCAAAGACACGTGAAATCCTTGCATATAAAATATCTCTGAATGACCCGCATACTAGTGCCACGTAAAGGGAAAATTCTGAATTACTGTACACCAACGAAAACATCCTAACATCCTGAACAACTTTGCCGAAGACAGTAACTTTCTGTCTGGTCAGGATCTAGAGATATTTTATATGCGAGAATTCCTCATGTATACTAGCGTTGCAAAGTGAGAAAACTCTGAACTTAAGTCCACCAGCAAAAAGGCCTTGACTTCCTGAACAACTTTGCCGAAGACAGTAACTTTTTATATGATCAGGATTTCGAGATATTTTATATGAGAATTTCACGTTTATACTAGCACCATATAGTAAAAAAATTCTGAACTATAGGCTTTGAACTGCTGAACAACTTTTTCGAAGACAGTAACTTTCTATCTGGTCAGGATTTCGAGATATATCACATGCGAGAACTTCACATGTATACTAGCGCTATGTAGTGAGTAAATTTTGAACTACTGTCCACCAGCAAAAAGGTTATGATCTCTAGAACTACTTTGGCAAAGACAGTAACTTTCTATCTGGTCAGGATCTCGAGATATTCCATGTTGTAACCAATTAAATCAGAACCCTCGTAGTATGGACACCATTTACGCGGTTTCCATTTA